TTTCCTTTCTGCATCTCAGTCCCTCACTCAGAAAATGGGGCTGCTGACTCCTGCCCCAGCCTTTCAGGGCTGTTTTGTGACTCAAATGAGAAAAGGTACAACAAAGCCCTGAGAAGGAAGAAGGACTGAATGTCAGCCACAGAGTGCCCCCAGGCAGGAGCTTGCTTGGGAGTGGAGACCAACATGGGGCCAGCCTCACCCCAGAACCAGCTGCACTCCCGGCTCTAAGCTGGATGGAAGGCAGAGTCAGGGGGCCTGCACCTCGTGGGCAACTTGGGGGCTGCAGTCTCACTCTGGGGTTCCTGGCCTCAGTCTGCAGGAAGCAGTAGGCGTGGTGACCAGCAGATGAGCCATGCTCCGGGGAAAAGCTGCCACAGTCCCCCAGGATGACGTGTCAGGGGACTCAGATGGGGCGATCTCCTGAGCTAGAAAAGAAGCCCCCAAGGTCAGGGACAATGGGTGACCTTTACAGCCTCCTGCACAGCAGCCATGCATAGCTGGTGTTGAGCAGGTGTTGACAACGGGCAGGAGGGAGATACAGCTCCAGTGTGCCAGGACACAATCTTCTTTACCCCTTCATACTGCACTGAGCCATGCTTCCAAGCGCCTGCCTTCTGCTGAAGAATGAGAAAAATAATCCTGGGTAACTCAGCCACTTCCTGCTCAACCCTTAGCCTTTCAGGTTCTCATCAGCTGTCGAGACACCATTCCCCTCTCTCCCTTTTATTCACCCAGAATTACAGCTGGGTGGGGGAGGGGACCAGCTCAGGAGGGGCACGGGGGTGGCCTGGCGCCATCTTCTGTCTGGGTTGTCCTTCCTCTTTCCAGGGGCTGGGCATCAGCCTCCATCCTCCTGGGCAGAACCCTGCAGCCAGGTCCCCCATGCCCTCCTTGCCTGTGGCCTTCTGCGGCCATTTTCCTGAGCCCCAGGGCTGCTAGCCCCCATTCCAAGGGATGTGGGACTCTGGCATCAAGGGAGCTGCAGGGGTGGTAAGGGGACCTCCTGTCCCTCTGCCTGCTCAAACCATCTCTCACCAGAGCCATCTCCATGAGGCCTCCTGGCCCCAGGCATGTACCCTCACCCGTTGCTAGCTAGGCTGGGGAACAGCTTCCCTGGAAACACAGGACTGCATCAGGAAGGAGAGGAGGCCGGAGGGACTTTAAGGTTCTGATGGGAGGAGAAAGGGAGAATGGATGCAGAGGAGGTAACCAAGAACGTCTGCTACCCAGGCACACCCTCCTGTGTCCACAGAGAGGAGTCGCCCCAGGTGTTGGGCATCTGAGCCTCCCCCGTCCCACCGGCCCTCAGGCACTTGCCAAACAGTGCAAGGAGCAAGGAAGTGAAGGGGGCACCTCCAGATTGAAAGCAGGGGTTAGCCAAGGGAAGAGTGTCAAGAAGACCCTGGAGCCGGACCAGAAGACCATGGAGCCGGACCAAGTGCCCCACCAGGTTGCCAGGCATGAAGTCCACTTCCATGGAGTTTACAGGAAGGTGGCCACTCAGGTTGCCCTCGGGTGGCTCCAGGGGTGGCAGTGGCACAGCTAGTAGTGTGGGGTCCTCTGAGGACCTCCTGGGGCCAGGGCATGAACTAAGCTGGAGGGGATCTTACTGGCTCCTGTCCCTTCCTTGCTCGTACCTTCTAGTCTCTCTGCCAACCTTAGCAGCTGAACAGGGATGGCAGAGAGGGCTGCAGTCAGTGCTAGTCCCCACGCCTGGTATGAGATGTGTCTGGGGGGTCTCCACCTCTGTCTCTGCCACTCCCCAAGGCTAGACCCAGTCCTGCCTGATTAGTTAGAAAAGGGTCCTCCTGCTTCACCTACTTGCTTCCCGAGTCTCACCTCCAGATGGCTCTAGTTTCCAGGATGACTAATAGGTTCCATATCATGTGCCAATTTCTGCTGATTGATAGTGGCTGTGTTGCAAAGAATTGTGAAACCTTGTCTAGGCTCATTAAGGAGCTGTGATTGATTATCAATGTCAGCCATGAGTGCCGGAAGAGAGACTGTAGGTGTGTGTGACTTAAACTGCTGCCTACTTCTCCCAGAACCTGTTACACCCCATCAACCTGGGCTGGAAAGGTCTGGGGGTGTCTTGTGGCTGAGAGACGTCATTACAGGACAGATGTGAGCTGTGGCGTGCTGGCAAACATTTAATAAGTGGCTCTCGGGGTAAGGTGGGGCTGCTGTGTAGCTTTTGCCAATTTCTGTGGTGTGAATACTCCCACCACGGCCAATTTCCAGCGCCAGTGTGAAGTCACTGGGCGCCAAGTTAGGAAGAGATGTGCACAGTTGGCTTTTGCAAGACTGCACAAACTGGCTCTGTCTGAACAGTCAGACATTTTTCCTAAGAAATGTAAAGCTTCTCAAAGCTTTGCTAATGGTGGGCTGTTCTGGGAAAAGCACTAGACCAGGATTCAGGATCATTTACCAGCCATGAATAATAGGCAAGTTACATCCTTCTCAGAGCCTCAGTTTTCTCATCTATAAAATGGGAGTTGGGTTGTGGTGAACTGTGATATAATGAAGTGCTTTATCAGTCACAAAGCATGATTTGTCAGCCATGCTCCCGGAACATCAAATAAATTCAGATGGTCTACCCCAGAAATCTGCCTCAGGCCTCCCTAGAAAGTCAGGGTTTGGGCTGTGGGGCTGTACGAGACAGGGCTTGGGTGTTCTCTTTGAGGTTAACCCCAGAAGACAGAGGCTGCCTTAAAGGTCACCAGTGTCCCTTCACAGGCCATCATGCCTGCCCCTGACAAATTGCTTTTCATGGTTTTTAAAGCTACTTGTGTTTCCCTTCTTCACTGCTCTTTGAGGCAGAGGCTGTTCCTTTTATTTCTCCATGTGCCTCCTGCAAGCTTCGGGGGCCCATGGTCCTGGGAGGCAGGCAGACCTGGGGCCAAGTACCAGCCCAGTAGTGCATGTGTTCTGCAGCCTGAACACACCATAAACTCTCTGGGCCTCAGCTTTTCCATCTGCAGAGTGGGAACAATAACCATCGATACGTCACTGGGTTGTTGGGCAGACCGAGTGAAATAAGCGTGTTAGCATAGTGTTCGGCACAGAGTACATGTTCAATAGATGAATAACAGACAAATTACTATTTGTCCTGATGAGGTCTTGTGTGGAGGTGGAACAGGCCAAACTGTAGAAGAATGGGAGCTGAAGAGTTGGCAAACCACAGGTCGGTGAGGGCTGGGCCATGGGTGAGGGTGTGCATTGTGGGGCCTGAGGCACAGGGAGAGCCCCGAGGCAGGTCTGGTGCCATTAGTCCAGCGTGGGTTTCTCATCCTCAGCACTCTTCACATGTGGGCCTAGATGAGTCTTTGTGGCAGGAGGCTCTGTGCGCTGTCTTTTTAGCAGCATCCCTGGCCAGTACCCACTACAGACCAGTAGAAGCTTCCCAGTTGTGAAATCAAAATGTCTCCAGACATTGTCAACTATCCCCTGGGGAGCCAAATCCCCCCTAGCTGAGAACCCCTGCTCCAGCAGGCAGAGTGTAACCAATATCATTAGTCACCCAAGGTCTGAGGGGAGCCCATGATGCAGAGCACCTGTCCTGGCAGAGATGGGTGGGTCGGGCATGTCGCAGAGCTGGTGGCAGGTGGTCAGCTGCAGGCACCAGGAGGCATAGGTGGGGGCTAGGACCCCAGCTTCTGGGAGCCCAGCAGTCAAGCAGGGTCAGAAGATGGCTCAGATGGCTCAGAGGGCACCCTGTCACTCTTGATGTCGCATGTCCAGGACCAGGACTGGATCCAGAGACTGGATGGGACCAAGTCCAGGGTCGAGGGGGAGGGGACTTACCTGCCCACTTTAGAAGGGGCTGAGGGCCCAGCTGCCCCTTCCACCCGTGAGAACTTCATGACCTCCAACCAGGAGAACACAGGCTTTGCAGCAAGAGAGACCAGGTTCAAATCCAGGCCCTACTATATGGAAGTAAAAGCTAAACAATAAAATTAGGCCAGGCATGGTGACTCATGCGTATAATCCCAGCACTCTGGTAGCCCGAGGCAGGCAGATAGCTTGAGCTCAGGAGTTTGAGACCAGCCTGGGCAACATAGTGAAACTCCGTCCTTATGAAAAATACAGAAATTAGCCAGTGCTCTGTTAGAGCTAGTAGACAGAGCCCTAACAGAGCCAGTAGCTCTGTTAGGAAAACCCCTCGAATTGTGCCTGGCACCTGATAAGGACCATAGAGGACTATGCAGTGACAATGGTGGTGGCAGTGGTGGTGATGTAAAAACCCTCAAAATCTTCAGTAGAATTTATATCTCCCAGGGGTAGACCCAGCAAACTGCTCCTCCTGCCATCCGGCTGAGTGTCGAGTCTTGTCCCAGCTACCTGGCTGCATCTGGTGACAGCTATGCAGCTGAGACTGCTAACAACAGGCAGGGCTGCCCTCAGTGAAGAAGGTGTGTGGTCTCAGCTACTCAGGAGGCTGAGGTGGGAAGATTGCCTGAGCCCCGGGAGGTTGAGGCTGCAGTGAGCCGTGACTGCACCACTGTACTCCAGCCTGGGCAATGGAGTGAGATCCTATCTCAAAAAATAATAATAATTAAATTTTTAAAACTTTAAGAATCAGATGCCATCATCTAAGAGCAAGGTGACCACCTTAGGCAGGTTGCGTAACCTCTAAGCCTCAGGTTCCAAGTCTATGGAAGGGGTGACAATGCCAACCTCACAAGGTTGTCGTAAAGACCAAGTGCGGGGTTATAGTTCCCATACTTAGCACCGTGTCTATGTCTGCCGCATAATGAGCACTCAGGACATGTTGATTGAATGAATGAAGGAATGAAAACGTGAATCTTCCTACAGCAAACCTTTCTCACTTAAACCCTCATGTTTGTTTTAGTTCTCATCTCTGGAATTTCTCCAGCTTTCTAACATAGGAAACTGTTGACTTCTCAGCAGGAGGAAATGAGTTATTCATCTCTGTATCATCAGAGCTTTGCATCAGGCCTGGTAGATAATAAGTGCTTAAAAAATGAAGTTTTCCTTCCTCAGAGGACAATGAGTATACTTTATTCATGTTTAGAGAGCCATAGCCCAGCACAGTGACTCACACACAGTAGGCATTGTTAAGTGTTTGTTGAATGAACGAACATACAAAAAGTGGCTGGAAAAAAAGGCACGACCCAGAATGCTACCCCAGAATTCTTCATGGGGGTCCATCCCTGTGTGTCCATTTTGGGGGAGCATGGCCGGCTTGCTCAGAGGAGGTGGGTCAAACCCCGGGGGAGAACGGTAGTGGCCTTAGCAGGAAGCTGAAGCAATGGGTGACAGACATTAGCAGGGAGGCCTCAGGCAGAATGTCTCCACCTTGGATGGCTGCTGTGATCCTCCCCTGACAGCCCTACTTGCAGGCTGCTCAGCCCACCTGAGGGGGCAGGGACAATCTTCATAGTTCTCCCTGCTGCAAGAAACAGGTGTCCTCCTGACGAAGCAGCAGGTGCATGGGCAGAGTCCGGGTGTCTTCCTCCTCTCTCAAGATGTGGTAGTGTGGGCTGTAGCTCAGCAGGATCAGCATGAGATATGGTGTGCTCTGTTAGGAAGACCCCAGGATGGGGAGTCAGGAGATTGAACGTCCCACCGCCATTACCCGCCCACAACGTGGCCCTGGATGGTCACGAATCTCCCTGGGCCTCTCTTCCTCCATCTGTACTGTGGGGACTTGGTAATGCCTTGGAGTGACTCCATCCTTTGGTGCCCAGCCAGGGTAATGGGAACAGCCAAGTGGCCCACATGGGAGAGCAACTAGTGACATCCAGGCACTGCTATATTTTGCAAAGCCATCAGCTCCCCAGCATCTTAGAGCTGCCAGGCATTGAACACAGCATCAGGGGAAGCATCTGCTTGGAAACCCGGGGCTGTCCCAGTGCAGGCCTGTTTGATGAAAGTTGGCAGGGGCAGGATGGCAGTTGGGTTTTCCAAGGCACCTGAAGATTTTCCAGGGGGACACATGAAGACCATCCTTAACAGGGGAAAAAATGGTTTGTGAGAGAGAAAGCCTTATCTTATAGCACCCGTATATCTCTTCCCCTTCCTATGGCACAGCATTAGCTCACAAAGAGGATTTTCCTGTTTCTGAAGTTCCTGTAAGGGACAGGTATGGGGAGTGGCAGCCTGGCTGAGCTTGGCAGAGCCAGATTCCCTTCCATAGGACAAAGGTGCCTGTGAAAGACAGAAGAGAGGGTTGAGTCTAGAGAAGGGGACTGGAGGCTGACCATGACAGGCATCCCAGGGGGAGGCCTGGAGAGGACTTGGTCTGCAGGCAATAGGGGTGTCGGGGGTAGGTTGCTTTCTGAGTGAGAGACAGAGAGAGAGGCACTGTAGAGAAGGGTCCAGAGCTCTACCATTTACTAGCTGCATGGGCCTGGGGAGTCACTCAACCTTCCCGTGCCTCAGTTTCTTCATCTGTAAGGTGGGAACGATAGAACCTACTGCATAATGGAAAATCCCTCAAATTGTGCCTGGCACCTGATAAGGACCATAGAGGACTATGCAGTGACAATGGTGGTGGCAGTGTGGTGATGTAAAAACCCTCAAAATCTTCAGTAGAATTTACATCTCCCAGGGGTAGACCCAGCAAACTGCTCCTCCTGCCATCCAGCTGAGTGTCGAGTCTTGTCCCAGCTACCTGGCTGCATCTGGTGACAGCTATGCAGCTGAGACTGCTAACAACAGGCAGGGCTGCCCTCAGAGCTCCAGTGTCACTGGGGGCCTCACCAGAGCCTGCCACAGTGGGAGCCAGGGCCCCATCAGGCCTGGCAGGCGCAAGGCATCTGCCCTCCATGTGGCTGAAGCATCCCAAAATTGCCACAGGCTGAATTTTGTCACCAGCCTGTTTCTCATGCAGAGGACATCTCCCCCAGCCAGGAGGAACAGATTTCCCAGCTGGGCTGGTCCCTCTGGCTGGCTGGGCTCAGGGGATATTTTCAGATTCTGGGTGACATTCCTCTGCCACTCAGCCTAATGGCTCCCAGATGCTCCCCCTGCCCCGTGCTCCCTCCCGCTTGTTCTGGGCCGTGCATGCAAGGCCCGGGCCTGGGGCTTGCTCACCCAGGCTCTACACCTCTTGACTTTTTCTGTTGCTTTTAATCTAAAACATTTTGTCCCGCTTAACATGATGGCTTGACAGAGGCCAGCATGAAAGAGGCTGTTTCTTCCTGGATGGTGACCAGGGCAGAGAAGCGGACAGATGAAGGAGGAAAGAAGGAAGCCGGCTCTGGGAACGGGAGGAGCACGGGGAAACATAGGAGCCTTTATTGGCTGAGCATAAAAGAAGCAACAGGAGTCGCAGCTGAGTTAACGTGGCCAGGGCACTAGGGGCCGGGCAGACGCACCGGGCCCAGCTGGGAATTGCCGGGAGGGCGGGGTTTCGTGGCTCATGTTCGCAGAAGTGCCTTTCCTTCCCTATCCTTCGGGGCTGCTTTTCTAAACCTTCCCTCCCGCTCCCCAACCCTACTCCTTTTTTCTCCCTCTCGGAACACTTGAATTTGTCATTCTTGGCTGTTGCTAGTAATGAGATAGGGCTGCTGCTGCGGCCGTGGGAGGGAGGTGGGGAGTGGACACCAGAAAGAGAAAGGAACAGAGAGGCATGGAGGAGGTGGGGCTGGAGCCTGAGAGGGGACTTTGAGAAACAGGCTGTGGGTGGCAGACCCTGGAGGGGTGAAGTGCCTAACTCACTGTTAAACAGAAACCAGGGTGGGCCGATGGGCCGATGGGCCTCAGGCAGGGTGCACAGTGGCCATCCATGCCCACCCCTGCCTGCCTGCTGGCCCTCCCTGCCATGGCCCAGTGAGGACACCGGCATGCTAACAATCCTCATCTCTGCAGGATCTGTTATTTTCACCTTTCTCAGTGTGCCCACTGTCCCGTGTTCTGCAAAGCAGCCTTGTACACAAGTTCAGGCAGGTCACGAAAAGCCCATTTTGTGGGGTGGGAAGCTGAGGCAGAAGGGCCACCAGCAGGGCTGAGCCTGGGGCCCAGATCTCTGGATTTCTCATCCAGTTATGAAAATATGGAGATGAAATAAAGGGGGAAGAGATTATATTGGTGAAAATGGGCCAGGAAAAGACAAACTTCGAAGACCAGATGGAAACCCCTCCGCTGAGGAATCCTTGGACGCTGCTCCCAAGGCAGCCTCCCCACCGCCCCTGCAGCAATGACACTGACCCAGGCATTTTCTCTCTCTCTTTCAGGACCTCCTGTAAGTACTCAAGCCGAGGGTCTCATGCATCTGAAAGGCCTGTGTCACTTGCTGGTAATGGGGTTCTGGGTGGGGACACTGCAAGCTGGGCCCCTGCTGTCTTGGGGAGGGCCTATGCGGGCTCCCGAGGGGTCCCTCCAGAAGGCTTCTTATAAGGGGGAGGCTACCATTTTGCTTTTCACCCACCTCTGCACCCCTCCAGGGCAAGACAATGGCTGCCCCCAGGGCAAAACAGGCCCCAAGTTTCAATCGAAAAGAATGGCTTTCTCTCTAATTAGCTCAGTTCTTTTGTCCCCCAAAGAAGCTATTGGAGTCAAAAAAAGAAAAAGCACCAGGCATTAGAAAGAAGAAAAGAGATCATCTCTCCTCAGTTGTCCTTGAAAAGTCTCAGAAAACAGGCCATCGAGCTGGCTCCAAGCGTGGTCTGCTCCAGAGGACTCATGTCCACACCCCTGAGTGGGCAGCTCTATTCTGGCCAAGTCACTTTGGGCAGGTGGTGGTGGTGGTGGTGGCGGTGGTTATGTGAGGGAGAGCGGTGTCAGCCGGTTAGACTGGGAGACAGTACATAAGTTATAGGCAGCACGCCGCACTCCTTCCTGGCCTTGCTAGGAAGCCCAGGGTGGGGCGCGGGGTGGAGCCACTTCCAGAGAACCTGAGAAGAGCCCAAGGAGACTGCCTCCCTGAAGTAATGGATCCAGAGAACAGGAGCACCAGTCTTTGATATCCCAACAAAAGACCAGAGGGCGCTGGGGGAGCTGGAGATAGGAGTTGAAAGGGCCCAGCCCTCACATCAGATCTTTCTCAAGGTTGCTGAAATCAACCCTATCATCACCCCTTCCTTGGAGAAGTCATTTCCATAGTTGTTTTCCTCTTAATGTGTACCTGTGGGAGCTGCCTGCTTAATTTTTAGTAAAGGCCATTACTGAAGACTCCATTTGTGCCCTGAAAGGCCCTTGCACCCATGCTGAGGATCCCATGCCCCCTGACACATCACAGTGAAGCAGGATCTGTCATGTCATTGCTTGAAAGGAAGGATAATTTATTAAGGCGTGTTTGGTGTGTCAGATCTTAATTCCCTTCATCCATCTTCCAAAATAAACTCTGCCATAGAGAGCTTTCACCTGTTGGAAATGTGCTGCTTTTCCCTGTCTTATTCCGAGGAAGCCACAAGAGCCTTCAACTGCTCCCACCCTGCCTTGGGGCCTCCTGCACACACCTCACCCCCAGGGCTGGGATGCCAGGACAGCTCTGAGTCCCTGCCTGACTTGAGGGTCCTTCCCTCAATAGTAATTTTGCATTCTGAGAGCTGGTGCTGGCCCAACCCAGGGACTGTTCCCAGACCCCTTTGGGTCTGTGCTGAAGGAGCCCATGAGGTGGAAGGGGTGAGTCTCCACTCAGTCTCTGTCCACAGAGTGAAGGAGAAAGGCCCAGGTAGCTTTCCCCACATTCTGAGCCCAGCGCAGAAGAGGAGCCCTGAACCTTTGCCCAGTGCTGGCTGAAACCACAAGGCAAGAGGAGGAGGAAATGGGAAGCTGACCAGGGCAGGAATCATCTCCTCAGCCCTGTTATCTCTGCTTCCTGCAAAAGAAGAATGCTGGTGGCCAGAGAGAAGGGCTCTGAGATGCCTGTCTGCTGCCCTCTGGGTGTATCCTGGGGGCTGGCTCTGTCCTCCAACAGGAAGACCCAGGTTCCTGTGGGCACAAGGTCAGCCAGTGCCTGAGAACACAACCATGCAGAATGGATTAAAGCTGCAGCAGGAACCATTTAGGAGGAAGCAAATTTGCAGCCACCACTGCCCCACCCATCATGCCCTTGGCAGACATTGCTAATCAATTAGGAGGCTTTTTTAACATAACCCATTAGTCTGTTACTCCCAATCCATTGGTGTCAGTGCTCGAGCTGACATCTATTGGCCATCCCTGGATTCGATTTAAGGGAGAATTTCTTAATACTGGGAACTGTGAGACTGAAAACAGATGACCAAGGGAAGTAGGGATGTATCTTTCTCTGAAGGAATACAGCGAAATATTTGCCAGCAGCTGCCAGGCCTTGCTGAATATGATCCTTGCTGAAATAGTAGCTAACACTTACTGTGTGTTAGACACTGTTATGTTTTTATGGAGGCAGTGTAACATAGTGATTATGAGCAAGGGCTCTGGGGCCGGACCAACTGCAGTCAAATCCTGGCACTGCCACTTTTTGCTTTGTGACCTTAGCAAGTTACTTAACCTCTCTCTGCCTCAGTCCCCTCATCTGTAAAATTAGAACAGTAATGATATCTGCTTCATAAGGGTGTTGTAAGGAATATGTATGTGTGTACTATATATCTATAT